AATCAACCAATAATTGGTTAATATTACCAAACTCAAACTTGAAAAGGAATCAATGTGATTTTTGGTTAATCTTAACAATGCCTTGGTTGATATTTTCAACAATGATTTGGTAATATTATCCACAATTTCGTTTACATTAACCAAACTTTTCGTTGACGATCTTTCGTTTGAATACATTTATGTTCTGCACTTCACAGATGCTTTTTCATAATTCGGAGATATAAAACAAACATGTTTATTATCATTTTAACATGTTGCCTCTGACGGGATAAGCTACTAACAGCAAGCATCTCTACACACTCAGCTACAACCGTTTTAAAAATGTGTCTTAAAATGTTCAACTTGAATCAATTTTCTTCGTCGTCTGATTTGGTTCTACACTTCGCAGAGGCTTTTTCGTAATTAAGAAAAAGCAAAAAAGAAAAAAGTAAAAATTATGTATCGCGCTTACAGCATTATTTGTACTGCTGGAAGCCAACCAAGCAAGCAAGCACCTCTGCTCGTTCAGCCACTGCCATACATACGGATCTGTTCTCAAATGCTCAACTTGAATCACATTTCTTACAATCGGTTTATTGACCATGCAAAAATCAAACCATAACTTGGTTGAAAAAACCATTGTGCTTTTGGCTCAATGTACATATATGTATGTAAGTTTATTAAAAATGCATCGTATTTTAAACTTTTTTACATTAAAATTCGTTTTTATTTATGAAATAGGGATATTTTACGTATATAAAAACATGAGTTATTTACATACATACATTTGTTACAGTTTTAAAAACAGGTTTGCTAATAAATAAATATGCAAGTCTTAACACACGCAATACATTGTATTGCGTATTTTTGTGAAATAATAAATTTTTCGCTGAAGCTGTGTATTTTATTGCTTACAGGTTCTGATATGAAACCAATTTGTTTGTCATTTCGTTAATTAAATTTTACGATTTTTACAAATTAGCCACTAACAATAAGTAGTAAACAATGAAAAAAATTTAAACTTGCTCCCAAAGGTTAATTATATTTTACATTTTTACATTAGAATTCTCAAAGCGTTTTATTTGCCTTGTATTGATTCTTGTTATTGTGCTTATTTATTTACAAGCTAGTTTGAGTCAGTTCAGCAAAGTGTCGTATAACAAATCTGACGCTAATTTGTTGTTATATTGGCAGCAACAAATTTTTTCATGGCCGTTAGTTAACTATTGATATTTTCAAATAATTCGAAATTTTAGTTTAAAGGGCATAAATAAATAAATAATAAGTCATAAATGCAGCGTTCGCTTGTTGGTTTCACTTATTTAATTGCTGCGCACTTTGTTGGTATTTCTCGTTTAAAAGCCAAGCTGGTTAAATGAAGTCCTCAATATCTTCTGAGATACATAACTAAAATGAAATAAAAATTTGAACAGAAAGAAAAAAATGTATGAATAGTTTTTTTATTTAAAATAATTATTTATTTTTTGTTTTTAGTAACTTTAATTATGCAACTGGTTTTTGAGCAACTGTTGATGCATCTTTTGCAAGGCGGTCATTTCCAACTGAAAAATACTTTTGGTTGAAGAGATGTACATAGATGCTAAATTTGTGCGATGAAATAGGTTTTTCTAATGCGGGACTTCCACTGCACATTGAGTAACAAAATAACTAGATTTTTTTTTATTATTTTATGGCCTAGTCAAATTTTATATTGAAAATTTGATTGAATAAAAACTTTAAAAACCTATAAAATTTAAATTTATTTATAGTATAAATCTTATTTATTTTTCAGAGATTAACTTAAAAAAAAACGTCTTTCGTTAATGAAATGTCGGGGATTTCGTATATCCGATTTCAAAATTTTCAACATTCCTATGCAATAGGTGTACCGATTTTGGTAGAATTTGATAAATCGGTTACACAGATACACACTTACAAATATATGTATGTATTTATATAGTCATAAGTGGGGAATTTTGGACACTAGAGAGTGTGGATCGACGCGATAATTATTGTGAGCTAAAATTTGTTTAACTGTGCGTACAGTCTACCACGTTTTTGTAAAATTAAACCTAAGGGCTTTTTGAGTGGTACCGTGTGTGTAAAGTTAAAACTGTCTTCTATAAATTGGCATTAATAACTAGCGTAATAAGGAATAGCTGCATACTTTTCTTTGATTTTGGGAAGTGATTTTGGCTAATTACTACATCTTTACAATAAAGTGAAGTGCAAAAAGGCGCCGCTGACTCGTGAGTGACCCGGCGACATGGATACAGAATAATTTAGAAAATGGAAAAATAACTGTTAATTTCAATTCGGAAGATAAAGATAAAAAAGCGCGAAAAAATTAAGAAGACAAAAATGACGCAAAGTTGGTGGTGAAATACCCGCCAAAATTTAAAGGGAGAGATTTTCGTTCTAGTAGATTCTTCTGAATGTCAAGCAATGAGAAATGAAAAAATAACGACTGGCTTAACCCTCTTCAGCAAAATTAAAGACTTAAAAGTACAACACTTAGATTTAATATACGCCATAGGTAAAACACTTTATAAAGTGACATTTAAAGACACATACGCTGCGAAAAACGTCTGTTAGACAATAGAATTAAAAAAGGGGGACTGAAACCCTCGTTCCTAGAACAGTACTAGAAATCTATGGTGTGGTGCATGGGATGCCGCTATGTTTTAACGAGTATGACATACTTAAAAATTCGAAATCGGCAGTCCCGATAGTCTCTATAATAGGTTCATTCCTTATCTTTTTGGACTAAAATCTGAAAAGTGTCAAAATGCCAGAGCGTAAGCAAAATGCGCTCACTAAAAGAGAGTAACAGGAAAAGTAAAGGAACGCAAAAAACCAAATTTTTAGTCCAAAGAATGGCAACAACAAAACTAATGTCAAATAAGAACAGAAATGTATGTACAAAACACATTCACACAAGCACAAGCACAATAAACACTTGCTATATCAATTATTTTTTGCCTCCTTCCAATTTCAATTCATTTCTTTTACTTTTTAGATTATTCTCACTTTTTGCGTATTCTTTAACTTCCGTTAATTTAAATTCAGTTGAGTTTGACACTTTTCAGGATTTTGCCAGAAAAAATTCTTCTGACTAAATCTGACTACTTCGGACTGATGAGAGTCGCTCTCACTGACTGTTGCTCTCTCATTTTTGCTGTCATTTCCGAGTTAAGGAACGCTTTTTGGACTAAATCTGACTACTTCGGACTTTTTCTGACTATTTCTGGGAGATAAGGAACGCGCATAATGAGATTTAAGAGAAAAGACCCAACCAGTGACACACTCATTCCCACTACAACTATAAAAATAGGGTTTGCAGGAAATGACATTCCCGAAGAGATAATCTTTGAGTACTCTAAACTAAATGTCGACATGTTTATCCCACCGCTGAGGCAATGTGCCAACTGCGGCAGACTTGGTCACACACAATTTGGATGCAAGTCCAAAAAATGGTGTATCGAATGTGGTAAAATAGAATGCATGTGGTAAAAACGGCCATACCGCGAAAGATAAGAATATTTTCCCACACTGGGAGAAAGAGTTGGCGATAAATCAGATTAAAACCATCAAAAAACTCTCAAGAAAGGAGGTTCTAGATACATATTTTCCCAAAAACACGAATCGATTTGACATACTGGCAAACAATGAGGAATTTCGGTCCAAAAATCAGGATTATTTGCGTCCAAGGGCCAAGGCTCCCTCAAACCGAGTATACAATACAATTGCTTATCAAAAAAATATGGTTTCACAATTTGAAGTTAATTGCGGAAATGATAAAAATAACTCAAAGACTAACAATACAAAGCAATGTAAAGTATTTCAACAAATTCAACAGTTAAGACAACAATTTGAAGCAATTTTGGTTAGGAGAGACGAGCTTGAGATTAGTGAATCTTTAAATTGAACAAGAGACTCAAATGAAGATTCTGCAATATAATTGCCAATCACTCAAAGCGAATATAGACACAATAGAGTACTATATGAATAAATATAGTATAGAAATAGCCACCTTTAGTAAATTTTTTTTTCTCAAAACAAAACCAGTATAGGAAGTTAATAAATTACAACACAGTAAATAAGCACCGGAATGATGGATACGCAGGTGTAGCCATTGCATACTTATAGCCAAAGTGACATAATCATTGCCAGAACTGTATTTTTAGAACCCAATGTGACAATTTGATCAAACTTCACTGGAATGTGGATGCTACTAGAATTGGTGGCAGCCATCATTTTCCGGAAATAATTGAAACAAGCAATTGTTAAGTCGAAGCTAATAACTTCATTGCAAAAAATAAGCTCCTAAAATCCTTAGAGACTTTAGAATGTGACTCAAATCTTCAAGAGTTTGAACACAAAATTCAGGAAATCAAGAAATCAAAAATGCCACCTGGCGGTAAAGGATGGCAAAACACCTAAATGCTGGTAGAGCAGCCACCTTGAAAAACTCTACAGATTCCTGAGAATAGCTAATCAAAAAGCTAAAAGAGTACCATCACCAGAAAACTGAAACTGAACTTTGAAAATCTTATATCGCATAGAAAAATATGGAAAGAGGACCAAAAAGCGATAAAAGAAAATTTTAACGAAAAAAATGAAGAAATTAATTCTGGTATAAGGGCTTTGTCAAAGCGCTGAGAGGCGATTACAGCCAGGATCATGTAGGAATGTGGAACAATGACAACAACAATGGGATAAAGAGTACGTTCACGTATGTCGTAAGCCGAAAAATCACCCTCATTGCGAGAGTCGTGTCGAATGCAAGTCGTTTTTCGAGAGTCGAATCGTATCGAAAATTTCTCGTCATTGCCTAAAATTTCCACTCGACTAGTGTATTAAAACGGAAAAACTTGGCAGCACTGTATAGTTTTCGACGATTTTGGTCGTTTACTTATTTCAGTACGACAATAGGCAATGCTACTGTTGTCGAGTCGTACAATTTAGCCTAATTTACGACTTCCGCAATGAGGCTGAATATGTTTTTACGTGACAAGTAATACGAAATCGTATGTGATGATTCGAACCCATTTGTGCCAGACGACATCGATGCTGTGAGCGAAATGATTGAGCAAGATCCTTCATATTACAAGCGTTGAGAGACTGCCGGTTTCACGATATATTTTTTTCTGTCAGTTTCCGTATTAAACTCAAATAAAAAATAATTTTTCACTTAAATTGCTTTCGCTAAACTAGCTATGAGGAATCCTTGGACATTAGTACAACGAACATCAATAATATTTTGTATGATCTCCTTGTGGTAACAAGGTGTGTTCGCTTTGGTTCCCACACATATTAAAAAAAAAGAGGCTCGTTTCGATCGATGTAAGAAAATGCTAAAACTATTCAAAAGTGTATTGATCATCATGGAGAATATTTTGAAAAACAATAAAACTGTTTTCAACCCCAATGCTAATTTTTCCCTTGTTAGGCCAGAAATCTACAGCCTCATTGCATGCATTAGACTAAAATACATGACTCGACAACATTGGCATTGCCTATTGTCATGCTGAAATATGTAGACGACGGAAACTGCCGAAAACTATCCAGTGATGCCAAGTTTCCCATTTTAATACACTAGTCGAATCGAATTTTTAGGCAATGTCACGTACTTCTCGAAACGACTCGACTCTCGAAAATCGCCATGCATTCGACACGATACTCGCGATGAGGCTGATAAATATCAAATTCTAAGTACTTACGATTTGAGAAGCGTAAATAGGAGAAAATTATAAAAAATTTTGGATTGTTGGTTAAACGAAGAAATTAAATATAGGAGACGATTTGGCAATGAAAAGGCCATGTCCGAAAAGGCAGTTGCCAAACTAAGACTCATGTTTAAGCAGCATTTATCGCCCAAATTGGCTGCCATTGAGTTGAGAGTACTGAGGTAACTGTTAATTGATTGGCAAAGTGCTTTCAGGACATTGTCGAGATGTACCACTAATCGGAGTATGAGGCGAGGCGGAGCTCCTTGGATGAAACAAAGAAGCTAAATTATCTAACATTTAAATAAAATTGAGTTTTTAAGATTTTGGAAAATGTGCGTGGCACCACCTGATCATGGTAGCTCAGTAAGCGCTTTACTGATTTCTCCAAACCTTGGTCATTAACCAAGACTTAAAAGTGCATGAAATCGGACACTCTCTCGGCATACCTCTCATATGACGGTATTTTTGGAAAATGAAAACACTCCAATCTTTCGCTATATAGTGAAAAAGAGGAAACTTTTAGCAAAAAACTTCTTATTAAAACATATGCGTGGTACTTCGCACTCATTTAAAATATGTGTATTCCAGTAGCGTCTTATCGATGCTTCCAAAAACTGATGAACACATTGACTCTTTTTTTCACTAAAAAAAATGTCGTACATTTTTGAAATCGGACAATACCTATGCCTAGTTTCTATATAACGGCAATTCTAAGCAGTGTTCGATAAAATATACATTTTACGCACACTAGGGATATGAAGTTCGGTTTCGCCCGAATCTTTTCTTGTTTAATTAAAATCCTTGAAAGCAGATTAGCCTGTTGCTGAGTAATTATCTAGCAAAATCTGTATGTGTGAATTGTAAAGAAACATGCGAGTTATTACTGTGCAATTTTGTGCGCCTGATAAAGAATTTTATAATTCTGCTAAAAATAACAGTATTTTGCTTGGCAAAGATTTGTGCGGACGTCAAGCAAAAAAGTTAAATTAAATAAAAACGAAAAAGTGAACAAAATGAAAATCTGCTTCAACTCATTTTGTGGCATAATATATATATATTTTGTATTTAAGTCTTCTAGAAGAGACCGTAAACAAACTTAACTTATAGTTTAAATGACTATTTATTACAAGTTTCAATATTATGTTCATATTTCAAGTAAAAACTACATCGAAAGTAACAAACAAAAAACTGGCCTTAGACATGAGGTTAGTTTTTTTGTTGCAAGCCTTTGACCCCTGACCATAGTACTTGGGTTTCTATATTTTTTTAATTAACTGTTAACAAATTATGGCCTTTTTAGTAAAATATGTATATGAATGTGTTGGGCGAAAATGGCACTGGTATGCGTGTTGGTAATTTTTTTGTTTTTTTTTAGTCTTGGCATATGAATATGTATGTTTGATAGAGCATGCATAAAAAGTATTTCATAAAGTTAGTATAATATCTGTAATTTAAAACTAATTGTAAATGAAAAAAGTAATGAAAACCTTATGGGTTTACTAGACTAATGAGCCGCTATAATTAGCATCTGATTTCGTGAGGATATTTAGTTAATTTACATATGCAGCATATTTATATGAATGAAAATAAACAGTTGCATCACTTAAAGTTAGATAAGCAAATTATGCTTGAACAACGTGGTTGTACTACATTCAACAAGTTCTCATAACGCAAATACAAACATACAAATATAGATATATAGCAGGTGAATAAAATGATTACAAATAAATGTCTTTATGTAAAGAGTGCTTAGGTTCTAAAACATGACTTTAATCTAAGCTAAGTAATTAGTTAATTAATTATAACTAGCGCTTTTCTTCAAAAATTAATATATTTAGCCTTGTGCATGTTAGCAACGAATGAACATTTGTGCGTTCGTCGTGCAAGTGCTCGCCGATTTTGTGCGCGCTGATTTTTCTCGCTTTTGTGCTTCCTTTGATTTAGTCTTTTAATGAAGTGCATCACTACTTGATTTAGATGTGCTAACACCAGCACTTGTTATATTACGTTGTTGTTGTTGTTGCTCATGTGTTTGTTGTGGTTGCTGAGGTGCCTGGTGCATTGATGATGATTGCACTTGCTCCTCCTGATGATGATGATGATGGGGATGTTGTGCGTTAGGTTGCTGCACTTGAGCCATATGGAAGCGCGCATATTTGAGAGTGTTTTTCGTTTTTAGTATTTGCTCTTTGACCTCTTTCTCAAAGCTCTCTTTGCGCTTATTTGAATAGTGCAACTTTTTGTAAGTCTCCTCGAATGCGCGCTTCGTTTGTACGAGCTTGCGTCGTAATTCGGTATTTTCTTGTTCTACCTTGATGCAGTCGTGAATTGGCACTGAGCCGCCGGCAGTTGTGGAGGCAGCGGCAGTGGCGGAGGGACGGCTATTTACATTGGCCACACTCATCTTATTTTCCGTGTTGCTGTCGTCGGTATCTGTGCGGGTTGGAGATTCTGTATTGGAATGGAGAATAGGAACGGAAATCAAATAAATAAAATTTTATTAGGATTTATCAAAGAAGGGAAGCGTGCTTAGCACAGTTACATTTTTGAATTACTAACTTCCAGTTTCATAATAAATAAAGAAGATTTTAAATGCTTTATAAATCGAAAATTATCAAACAAAAAAATTTCAGCAGTTTTATCATAAGGGTTACAAAACTTGTAAAATGCTCAAGTGGATTTCGATTTTGAACCGGTTCGGTTTTGGTATTTCAAACCCGACTTGCAGCCCTGCTATTTATCGATATCGATACAAATATCATTCACCACACTTACTTATTATGTGTATCGATACCGTTATCAGCATAATTATCGATATATTTACCAATATCGCCAGCGATTTTGGTATCAATAAATATATCGCAATTTTTTTCGATGTTTTTGTAAAAAAATCACTAGAACTTCGGGAAAAACATGTTTGCTTAAAAAGCAAATATGAAATTAATACACAAATGTGTATTTATTTTTGCATTACAACTTTTATTAATTTGGGTAATACCCGGTTTTTTATATTTAAACGACAACCCTCCTATTTTTAGGGATGGTCGTGAATTTTTTTTTTTTTTAGATTTTTTGGGAATTTTTCGGTACTTTGTTTTCTTGCTTTTCGGAATTTGCCGGAAGCTAATATTTTCGTGTTTTTTCGACTTCCGGGTTTTATTTTTCGTTTTTCTTTCTGTTTTGGGGTTTTTTCGATACTTTTAGGAACTTTTTTTTATGGTAATGTCAAGTTTACTAAATTTCTTTCGTCTTACATTTTTCATTCATTAACTCATGAATTAAATGAAAAAATTAAATGCAAATTATTTTTGATAATCGGTTGACAAATGTAGTTATCGAAAAATTTACCAGTGAAATTATCGAGGAATTCGACGATAGCTTTATCGAAATGTATACATAATAAATATTTACGTACGCATATCGTCGTCTGGGTAAAAGATTGTCGTAAACGTCATACGTACGTGCATAACATACGACAATCTTTTACCCAGGCGACGATATGTACATAGTTATCGATAAGTTATGAATTTAATTATTAATATAGTTATCGATTCGTGTATCGTTGAAAGGTATCGATATATAGAAGCCATTGCCGTTATATTGTTCCTGTTCACATTAGTATTTGCGCCCGTTTTCGTACTCATAAGCCTATTTGTATTTTGTATTTTGTATTGACACTGATCTGCAGATTTTATTCTGTATAGCACTGTAAGTTTACAGCTGATTAACGGGCCTTACATATATTACAAATGTTAATACCACAACCAAGTTTTCTCTAACTAAACCCTTATGCTTTACATCAAAAATGCATGCCTTACTTACCCTTTTTAACATCCGCACGGGACAACTTGCGTCCCGGATCACTGTCAATGCCCAAGTCGGAAGATGAGCTATGTTGCGCGCACTTGCCAGCCATGTTACTCTTATCCACCAAGCAGTATTTAGATTCTGTAAGATGTGATTATTAAATTACGAAATATTTTTATTTTTTTATAACAAATTTTAGTCGCCACTCACCTTCATTGGACGCCAGCTCACCGTCTTCTGGCATTGGCACAGTTTTGAGTAGCGAGCGTTGTACGTTCGACAATTCCACGCTGGAAACGCGGCCTGTATCACTGTGTATACCCAAATCAGGCGAGGAATTGCTATCGCGCTTCGCAATCGACTTTTGCACATCGTCCGAAGCATAGCCGCCCACTTGTGACATATCGTTGGCATCCAGGCGCTTAACTGCCGCTGCTTGCGCTTGCGCCAATTGCTCGCTTAATGTTTGTTGCAAGCGTTCAAGTTCTGTGACGCGTTGTGTTGTGGCCGCATGTTGCATTTCGGCGGCGCTCAACTGATGCTGTAACTCCAGCAAACGTTTCTCTAACTGCAATTTCTCATTACATAGTTTTGTGCGTTCCGTAACCACTTTGGATGCTTGCAGCACGCTTTCGTCCAATTGCTTCTTCAGTCCACGCACCTCCATTTCACTGTTTATCAACGATTGCTTGAGATCCTGCTCGCTGTCTGTCAGATAGTCGATAGTGCGTTGGGCCTCTATGTACTGCGTTTGCAGCTCGGTTAACTGCGCTCTGCACTCGTCGTATGTCGTGCGCGCAATCCATTCGCGGGTCAGTGCTTCCGAGTGCACGCGCTCCTGCTCCTTCAAGCGCTTTTGCATTAGCTGCTCCAATTCGTTTTTAAGTGTATCCAAGTGCTGGCGCTCTTTTTCGCTGGCTAACTTCAGCTGTATCTCGTACTTCTGTTTGATGTCTTCGATATCAGCCTTCAGCGCGCCCACTTGTACTTCGGCCAGCCGCGCCTCCACCGCGAGGCGATCGCGCTCCCCTTGCAACTGTTCGATGGCGTGACATTTTTCCTCGATTTGCCGTTGCATCAATGACCTGTTGAGCAGGGCGCTCTCGGACGCAGTGGTATTGTCTCTTGATTGCTCGCTGCCAATAGCAATTAGATCTGATAAGAGTTCTTCATTGCGCTGCTGCAGCTGCTCCACCTCTTGCGTCAGCGCTATGGCGCGCAGTGTTTCTTTCTTCAAGTTATTGTCTGCTTCCACTAATTGGAATTGTATCATCAGAATGCGGTCATCGCGCTGTGCAATGAGCTTCTCGAGCTGCGCTATGCGCTCCTGATTGCGCAACTTCATTGCGCGACTCTGCTGTAACGCATCACTTTCGCTCTCGCTATCTGTGTCGGCCGTTGGTGGCGCTGGTTTGGTGGCCGAATCCTTCGCGGCCGCTCCAGTGCCTGCTGCCACAAGCTCCTCCAGTCCGATGCGCGCCATCGACACTTGCCTATCCGGTTCCGACCACGCTTCAGATTCACTCAAATTATCCAGCAAGAATGGCGGCAACGAGCGGCGCTCCTTGGAATCTTTTGCATAATCTGCGCCGCCACAACTGCGCCGGCTGTCGAGTATCTTGCGCAAAGCCTTATTCTCCGAGCGCAACACATCGAACGAGTGGCGGGCACGCATTTGTTCGTGCGAATTAAATGTCTTATTGGCCAAAGCGCCCTCCTCTTCGTCCAGCAGCAGCCGTGATAAATTGCTTAAACCTTCGAAGCTTTGATCGCCTGTGGTCAACGTCTCGCGTATGCTCGTAGACAAATCGAGGCTGCAGTCTACAGCGGTACGCATGGCGCGGCGACGTTCGGTCGACAGGAAGCTCAACACCTCCTTGTTTTTCATTAGGGAGTTAAGGAATCCTGCTAACTCGTAGAGACGATCCGATAGAGCTGCAAAGACTTTGGCATATGCGTGTCGGCATGTCTCGGCATTGTCAGCTTCGGCGCGTGCTGTGCGCGCCTCTTGGCGCAGCTGTTCGATCAAAGCCTCATGGGTGCGTTCGTTGACGAGACGTTGATTCAGCACGTCCACTTTGCGTTGCAGCAGTTTATTATGCTCCAATGCTTTTGTGTAGTCACTCTCAGTGAAGGATTGCTGTAGTTGAAGAGATTCTAAATTTTTGCGTGCTGTTGTCGGCGAAAGGGGAGATGTAGCGTTTGCGTTGACTAATTTGGTGAGACGTTCGATTTCACGATTCTTTTGCCAAAGCTCATTATTGACCAGATTCTGGAGAGAAGAGATAAGGAGTCATGAAAAAGCGCACAGCGGTAACAAACAAAATGAATACGACGAGAGAAAAATAGAGCGAAATGAGAGGAAGATTACAAAAAAAGGAAATGAGAAAATAAAATTAGAAGCATAAGAACAGAATGATAAATGAGGGGTGGGATAACATTAGAGAAAAGGCATGAAGGAAAGAGAAATAAAAAATGAGAAAAGAAAAGCGTTAGAAAAAAAACGAACTGATAACGGGAAATACATATAAATAAGGAAATAGATGGAAGAGAGACCATATAAATAGAAGGAAAGAAAAGGAACACGAGTGAAAAGAGTGAGGAAAAAAGTTGGAGTGTAGAAGAGTCAAAGAGAAATAACACAATAAGAAGTACGTAAAAAGAGAAAGCAGAAGTATAATAGAACGAGGGGAGGAAAAAAGAAAAAAGAGCAAGAGTGGAGGGCACAAGAAGATTGATGAAAGGGAAGAGAAATGGGCGGAAAGAGAGAAAGAAATAAAAATACAGAAAAATAAAGATGAAAGCATTGAAAGAGAAAAGAGAGTACGAAAGGCAAAAGGAAAAAGAGAAAAAGTAGTAAGAAGGGCAAAGACATGAAGATGAAGAGAGAGAGAATCAGAGAGGTAATAGAGAGTCAGAAACGAGGGAAAGAGCAAAGGAAGAGATAAAAGACAGTAAGAGCGTGAAAAGAGAAAGAGAGTGAGATAAAAGAGAAGGCGAACCTATTTAAAAATTTATGAAACAAAATTATTTTTGCTCTCGAATCTTTTCATTCTAAATTCATCTTAAAGATACCTATAAATCTTGGATCCATGTAACGGAACGAGATACTCTACAATTGAACTGAAATAAATGTCAGTGCATTGAAATAGACTACGCTTGACTCTAGACTGAGCTGAGAGTGGCTTTGTCAACCCAACCACCATCAAATGTCTCGATTGAACAGTATTTAAGGTGGTTACCTTATAAACGGGTTAAGAACCTAAATATTTTATCTATTTACAGTCGGATTCTGTAACGAAGTCGTAGCAGCCAGCCAAACAGTTCGTCATAGTAAGAGGAGCCCCCGGTATAAAGGAGCTAAAAAACTAGCTTTTTGCCGTCACAACCAAACGTTGAATCTTTGAAGAAGTTTGGTTAGAGCGAGGAATTCGCTAAACATAGGTCGAAATGACTGAAAAATCTGAAGAAAATTCAGTACTTTTAAAAACTACGAAACACTGGAGTTTTCGCTATAAAAGACTTTGTTAAAGAGGAGTCCGACAATAACTATGAACTTCCTATTTTTTTCTAGCATGCCTCGTGCTAAAAATATACAAAGAAAATAATACCTGTAAAGCAGCAGTCTTCTTCTTTACTTCGGCTTCTAGACTCTTAATCGTATTCTCATGATCGCATTTTTGTACGTGATTTTGTAAAGCCTCTGAGTCACTTAAGGCACGATTGCCAGCACCTTCCTGCTGATTTTTCTCGCGTTGCAGAAGTTGTTGTAATGTGCGACAGGCGGTATCATAGCTTTTGCGCAACTTCTTCAACTCTTGCTGAGTATCGTCCAGTTCACAAAGCTTATTAGCCAGTTCGACCTTTTTCTCCTTTAGTTCGCGCTGCACGCGAGGAAATACAAAAAAAAAAACTTATTAACAATAAGAGACTTGCCTCAAGTGAATATTACTAAAAAAAACGGTACGTTCGCATTGCATTCGAGTTGATCTTAGAAGAGTAAAAAATTTTAATTTATTCATAGTTTCATGGCTTAAAAAAATCACAAATAACAATTTTTTTACAAAAATATATGTAGTGCATACATGTGTACTAAGCTCAAATGTAAATTCTGTCGTAAAATGCACACATAAATATATATAATTATATAAACTATTTTCAATTTGCAAATCGGATATTATCTCACAAGGTACACAATAAATGCATAATACAAAATCCACCATTTGCGCACTCCCGCTTGCTTTCGCTCACTTCTCACAATTTCCTTTGTCCTTTTAATCTTCTCAGCATACGCCCCCACTGGTAGCGTAAACAATTTTGATCAACATTTAGAGAGTAACTCCTCAGAAAAGGTATATGCACGCTTTTGAACTGTGACACATGTCCAATATTTAGATACAGCGTGTGAAATGAAGTGTAATAATAGGCTAGATTTAATGAAAATTTCCAAATTTTGAGTATACAAAGCGTACGCCGCCATCCACATTGGTGAGTTGGTGGGGTCGATTGTTCTAAAAAAATTTTTCAAAAATTGTACAATTCAAATACACAACCGCGCGCTCCACTCTTAACTAACAAGCCCTCTCACCTGCGTACATTCCCGCTCCCCATCGGGTGACGTTTCTTTGCCACCACAAAATATACTGGACGTGGAAAAATTTGCCTGCAACGAAGTGCAACTATTGGATCGCGAAGTACATGGCCCACCACAGCCGCCGCCACCATAGCCCGCAAACATGCTCTCATCATTGATTGTGTAGCGTATTGGAAACTCTGGCTCATGATCGCTGCAGACCAGCTCTTTGCATGCAACGCCGGTGCGACCAGCATCACCAGAGCTAATACCAACACTGCCGCACCTATGGCGGTTGACGCCCTCGTGCAAGTAACACCGCTTCACAACAGCGTTACTTTCTGGCTCGCTGTGCTCACACTTCTCTACTTTTGTGTACTTGGCGCTGGTGTTGCTGTAATTAACGCACAGCTTCTGTTTGAGCAAATATTCACCTTGAAAATCGCCGCGCGCCTTCAACATGTCGCGATAGTTCATTTCGTAATGTTTGTTACAATCGACTGGCTTCTCGTCGAACTCGTGCGCATATTGCTGATAGACCTCCTTCTTCTCGATGGTGAAACACTCATTCTTGCTGCGCTGTAGTTTGCCAATAATGGCACGAAAGAAGCGATTCTCTCGTTTGGCTAAATTACGTTCGAAACTCATTTTGGTTACCATTTTTTCGTAGTCTTGAATGCGTTCAAGTAGACGTGCGGTATTTGCTGTCTTAATAGAAATTGTGGACTGGTATGTTGAGGTGCAGGTAATAGAAGAGAAGGGATCAGAATAAGAGAGGTTTGGAAGAGGATATGAAAAATTAAATGACCATTGAACGCGGAACAGCGAGAATAAATTCAAAATTTCAAAAAACATACATTTTAGCGAAACCGAAAAAATTCTACATCGCAAAACTACTTTTGAAGCTTTACTGTAAACCTTTGTACTGAAAAAATATTTGCCGATTTCGTGACACTTTTTCGTTTGTATATATGTGTTAAATAATACACTGTTTACATATACGAATTGTAAAGAATTTTATGCAGAGTATCACTTCTGAGCCTAGGAAGGAATGAAGAGTTGCTTTAGAATAAACTTATTAATTTTGTAATTTTTTTATATCTTAATTTAACGATGTTTCCGGGTAATAAAAGTGAAACACCTATAGTTTAATACCAGTTCTCAGTGTTGTGCTTGTCTAAACAAAATGCAAGTGGGCAACTCTGTATCTATCTGTGATACGCTGTTGTAGCGGCACCACTAGACCCCAAATTCGGCTGCCTATCAACCGTTATCACCAAGCCCAACTAGCGGTAGGCCCAGGAAAAGTGCAGTTTCGACAGAGTCGGACCAAAAGGAAAGGAATGTTGTTGTTGTTGTTGTTGTTGTTGGAGCAGCTTACAAATCCCCAAGACTGACAGTCCTTGGCCAGATGCAAATCTGGGTCGTTCCGGTTACGTAGACCCGACTGGCGAGGCAACGAGGAAAGCGATGTTACCAGAGCCGGTTTAAAAAGGTTACCTTCACATACGGGGCATGTCGGGATCGAGTCTGAAAAATAGAAGTTTAACCTACTATAGCAGCTAGATCGTTTTTTTTCCGGCAGAGTCCCTCACGGCATCTGAAAATCTTCATCTGCGTGGGGTGGTTGAACTCCGACAATGGCATTCAAGGTGCCAGGGTGAGTAAAAGTGGTGATTATCTCTCGGTGAATTTCATTTACTGACTGCCTGTACAACATCACGTGCAGTGGTTGTGCCATGTACATACATATGCCTGGAGCCCGCACGATAGTTCGTAGAGATACCTTCTAATATGTGTACCTAGTCTAGCGCTACTTCCAGCAAGTGATTGTTCGGATATTCCCTGTGGAAACAGCCGACCAAGACTTACTTGTTCTTTGCACCATTATGAGTGGCATTGTAGATGCGGTTTTATGTTTTTGTTGGCGGTCTGGTGTTTGACAATTGTTGTTGCGTGTGCGAAAAAGGAAAGCAAGATGTTAAAGATAACCTCTAAAATTTCTAGATGGTGAAAAGTGTCGTCGTTGATTTTGTGGAGGCATAGACCAAACCTCCATGTCGCGAAGAAGCGAGAAATATTAGATATACAATTACCGGACGTCAATATCGAGCCGTCGTCAGCGTATGAGATCAGTGAAACTGCCTCCAGCTGCTGAGAAGTTTGGAAATATAAAAGTTAAACAGTAGTGGAGAGTGGACATCAACTTGTGGGACCACCTTTTTAATTCACCATGCCTTCGAGGTTTGATCAGAATGCGTACTAACTGTCGACAACTCACGAGAATTTTAGTAGCGTAGAATGACAAAAGGCGAGGTAGCCTTTCGACAAATCAGATGTCACTAAGACGGTTTTCTCACTGGGGCGATAAGTGTTGTTGTGCTCTTTAATTATTAAGTTAAAATTATTATTACTGAGGCCATCCAAAAATCGATCGATCGTAGTCGGCGTAAAACTGTAGGTCCCTCTCAGCAGCATAAAATGTTTCCTATGAGAATCCTGAGGAACGCTGCTGGGAGAACAGTCTTAACTGCATATAATTCCGACCCGTTTTGAAATCCAAAATAGCTGTGTCGTATACTATCTACCAACCGCAACTTAGTCTACTTCAACTACGAATTTCTAGCTAATCATTAAAAGGCTCGCAACTGCGACAAAAAAAAAACTTACTTGCATTTTGCTTAATGCATCCTGTTGTTCACGCATTCTCTTTTCACATACTTTCACATTCGAAAATTCTTTGCGGAAATTATCTTGTGTGGCTTTTAGAGCTTCAATTAAATTGTGATTATCTTCCTTCAAATCGGCATTGGTCAGACGAAGACTTTTCAAATTAAGCTTTAACGCGAATTGCGCGAATAAATGTAATAAATGGAAAGATAACGAAAAAAATAAGATGGGTGGGAGAGTAGGGTTGAAGGAAATTATAAAATAATTGTTTAGTGGACAAACATTTACTTGGAAACACGCGTAAGTATGCGATAAAAAGCTTGCAACGTTTCGTGTTTAAATACGAAGTTTCATATAATACTAAATACTATTTCTATGCTTACTTCTGTGAACATCTCGAATGCAACGTAAAATATTATCGCAACTATGCCTAAATGAATGCTTAAATGTAGCAATGCTATTTGTATAAGAACTCACCTCTACATTTGCCATATCTTTTTCCTTGTTCTCCATCATTTCCAGCAGCTCAGCATTTTGAAAGGCCAGCTCTTTTACTTTTTCCTCATACTCCTTGATTGTCTCATCACGTTTTGCTATGATTTCTTCTAATTTCGTCACTTGTGATTGTAACGAATGCATTTTCTCCTCGGACTGTGTCACCATGCCCTCGAGTTCGCGTATCTATGGGTTCATTTAAGTGGCATAATACATAGAGCAAAGAAAGCGAGGGATTGCCAACAAATTAGAGATGGAGTGAGAAAAGAAAAGATAATAATTTGAGATTTTAGTGATTTTTATATTTTATTAAAGTATGCGTAGTAATAAATTAAGTAAAATTATACAAACTTTTTGTAAAGCATTCACATTTTCTGAGATATCTGAACGGCCAAGCAAATCATTCATAAAACCGCTGTGATGAGTTTTATCCAAATCGCGTTCCATCTGTGAAGATAGGAAGGGAAATGAAAGCGATTTTTTTTACTTAGGGGAATTATTATATCATTCGGATTTAATTAGAAGCTATGTAAGTAGTTGAAAAGTTTTTTTTACTGGTATTTACGAAATTAATTTGTTTTTCTTTAGATAAAATTAAAAGTTTCTTGTGGCTTAGATTCTAGTTTAAGTTGTTAGAAATATGGGCAAAAAAAAGAAGAAGAAATCGTATCGGTATGTTAGTTGTTAGGTGAGTTTCATGATTTGTTATATAAAATTGCTTCTCAAAAAAAAAAATTGCCGATTTAAAATCTCACGAATTTTAAAATATAGCTAATTAAACGTTTAAATAGCTTTAGTGCATTTTCTTTAATGTGACTAGTTTTTAGCACATATCAACCTCTTGTTATATCATCTTTAATTTTAACTATTTTTCCTTTAATTTGTGTAGACTAGTAAAAACACAAGTTATATTTGAAAGAAATTGGAGTTTAAAAACGCCACAACGGGCCACAAACATATTCAAAGCCTCTTTAACATTTTTGCCGGTCTTAAGTTAATTTTTCTTAAATTAAATGTTTTATTCAATTTCTTTTTCCATATTACAAAGCCTTTCAACAGATTTCGTAAACACTTCTAATAATAAAATTTTTCCAAAAATTAAAATCTCAAGATTTACGTATAATTTTAGTCATTATTGTATTTTCTTTTAATTTATCACGCTTCTTTTCGAATAAGTAACATAAATAAATATATTTGCGTTGTTTTCACATTTTTTCTCACCTCCAAAAATTGTATCTTCTGCTTTAGTTCATCTATAAATGCTTGACCCTTAGCCTCAGTCTCTTTTTGTATCTGTTCCATGTGATTCATGGCCTGCGCGGCTTCCTTCAATAAATCCTGTTTCTCTTCAAGCTCCTTACGCAAAATTTCAATTTCAACCTGTGCGAAGAAAAAGAGTTTGTTCAAAAAGGAAATCACAGTACGCATTTTTTTATTTCCTTGCCTTCGTATCAATTAGCTGCTTCATTAACGACTCCTGTCCCTCTGTGTTCGGGTGATGATAACCTGGCACACTTTCCTCCAGAAAATATAAACGTAACTTTAGATTAAAATTCTCCTTACGTAGCGATGCCATTTGCTCCTCGAATTCGCGCACTGAACGTCCTTGTACAGGTGGCGATGTCGTGCCATGTCCCTGCAAGCTGACACATGGAAAGCCCACACCATCTGTATGAGAAATAAAAGAAAAACGAAAGATTGAAAATTAATATTTAAGCGACCGGTTAACTAAAGTAGTAATCTATTTAGTTTGTGTATTTTATGTAATCCTATAACGTTAAGTCTCATTTATGAATCTCAGCTTAAGCTCATTAACTCGTCTTTTACCATCCGCACTCATATTCGTTTCGCTTAGTGGCGACTGTGAGTGTGAGTTGCGCTTAAAAACCATTAACTTTTCTTTGGAGTCTTGTGAGCTACCAATGCTGGATCCACTTCGACGCATGGCGTTTGGTGTTGCTTTTAATAAATTTCTTCTAACGGTATATTTTTATTTTTCACTATATTTCACTATTTCGTTTGGCTTTATTATGTGTCTGTAGTTGTGGCTGTTGCTATTGTGTGTGTGCTGTATTGTTGTTGTGTTGATAGTGGTCCCAAAACGGAGTTTATTTCAATTATTTGGAAAATTTGTGTTAATTAGTTGATCAATTTAGTTTTGAAAGTATGATTTTTAAGCTTCTTTATATTTCTTTTTTTACACAATTCAAAACTAATTTTCAACTTCAAGCCAAAGTCAAAAATATTTCACATTTTTACGTACCTACTGCGAAAGATCAGTGAAATATGTAAGTAGGAAGAAAAGAAATATAGGGTGTTTTAAGGAGTTTCTAAGCTACCGACATATTGAGGTGAAATCTTAGGACCGCTATTGGTTTTAGAATTTAGAACGAAAATCTGTGCACCAGAGTGGTGACAGGATCGGCGGTAGCAGAGGAACGGAAAGACCAAGTGGAGAAGGACTTGGCTTCACTTGGCATTTCCAATCGGCGTCAAATAAGAAGAATTCGGGTTTTATGCAGTGTACGAAAATAAACTATATTGTACGTTACTATTTCGTTTCGTTCATTACTTTAACAGTTCGGTACAATACGAAACAAAACGGCTGAGTTCACTTTGGCGATAGTACACTACAGTAGTTTAGTAGTTACAGACGAAACAACAAACGAAATGAATCGTGCAGGGAAAATATATTTATGTATGTACATATATGCAATAAACAAATACAAAACGAATGGCTGCAATGAATAAAAAAAATAAAAATGTTTTTTAATTGAATTGGATATGAAAATTTACAGAAAAAATTATTTTTCACGTAATTGAAACGTTTGAATACATATAAAACGTACCCTATGGTACAATTGTCACAAACGAAAAGCAAACGTTTCTCGTTGGGGAAAATGACAGTGAATCCATGATTCAATTATTAAAGGTTTTGTAAGTAGCTTTTTTCTAAAATTTGGCACTCCCACCCACAGGGATGGTTTTTAGAAGCAGAAGAAAAAGGGGAAGAATTCAATCACACTTCCTAAAATGGGAGCTAAATTCTATAAAAACGTGTGGATAATAGTGAATGGTGGTATTTTAAAACAAAAACGAATTTGATTTAATTATTTAATTTAAACAAGCTTATTTACATCGAATATAACCCCCTATTGTTATTAAAAATAAATATTTCTATGTTTATACCAAACTTGCGTACGTCAGATGGCGCATAACTCGAGAATGGATGGTCCACTTTCAGCTTTTTTTTTGTTGTATTTGTTTGCCAGTTGATGGACATGAAGAAGCTATTTGTTTGCGGAAAATATGCAATATTTATTAAACAAAAAAACGGCAAATAAAAAAATTTGGAGCTTACGTTTCTTTCGCGGTTATGGCTCGATTGTTTCGAATTCTTTGATGTCGCACTTTTTATGTTCTGGGGAAAATATTCAACACTGGCTTGCACAGCCGCAGTTGGCGATTGGTGCCGGACGAACTCAGAGCACGCAGCTACTGAACGACTGAGATAGGGAACGTGATCTACATCGTCAAATGAGAAGTGGCGTAATGGGGCTTTCGCACGAGGCGATTTTTCAGGCAACTTTTGCGTTCAACTCCCGCCGGGTTGCACGAAAAAAAATTTGAATGACTAAAAATATCAAAATATAAAAAAATATTAAAATATTCGCCATAAAAAGGCGTTTGTATTGTTCAACTTTGCATTCTACTTTCAGCTAATCGCTTGCAATAAAGTTGGTCGCCAGCCAACATTCGCCTCGTGCGTACACCTTTTAAGTGTGCAATTACATCGCGCCATTGACTAAACCGAGCTGTCGTGTGACGATTGGGCCTATGGATGCGGTTTGGCAATGTTATATTGCGTCAAAATCTCATTCGGAGACACCAGGACTGTGTCGTGGAGTACAATACCTAAATACCTTCGTTGGCTCATTGAACGCTTTACTTTACAGCGACTTGGCAGAATCAAGAGGTCTCCACGAATATCGACAAATACATTTCGGCATTTAAGGGAATTTCGTCTCTTAACATTGAATTTCTGTAGTCCAACGATTCTCACCCATTTTGTCTTGTTGGCGCCAGCGAATGCAGAACAAACATTTCTTCAAATTTAAAAAGTAAAAATTTCACTACTAACAATTTAAAAATGTTCTTAAAACTTGCAAAGAAATTTGGAAAAGAAATATCACTGTTTTTGTTTTTAGGAGTAGGGTGGGAGTGTCATTGATAAAATTAGAGCGAGAGAAAGGTTTTCTTACAAAACCTTTCATTATTGAATCATGAGTGAATCTTACAATTTGTTTCTGACTATTTACAAAACTGTACAAAACCACAAATGATATGATGATCGATGAGCAAATGGGAATTGTTTTGTACAGTTTATTTTCGTACCCTGGTTTTATGGCTTTGTTGAAGTGCTATAGTTGCAAAGTGCGCTATAGTGTGAGGCATTTCAAAATAATAACAATACGTAGGAAGTATGGTCTTTGGTCCAAATTTTGATTGGGATAGCTCCAAACCATAAGCCACTTAGCTGCCTAAAAATACGGTAATAACTCTTCTTCCGGTTAATCAAGCCAAACTAAAGATTTAAAACGTAAAAAGTTTTGTCAATGCATAAAACGGCTTCTCCAATCAGAACGAAAACTGCAAAGGTCGCAGTGCGGTATAAATAGCGTTTAGAATTGTGAAGTTCACGTTTATCCTTAGATGATGCCCGTAAAATTTATAAAGGGTTTTGCAATGGTGCGGGTACATTTTGGCACCCTATGGCGGCGATGTTGCTTTCGTCCGTCTAACTTATATTTAATTTTTCAGACACGGATGCCAAATGACCATGGTACCACACAGCTTCATTCCCGCTGGATGTATTGCGGAAAGCCGCCAAAATTTTTCAGTTGAAGCGGTTGTTCTAGCAAACGAATTCCCACTCAGAGATTTCGCAACTAGTAAACCAACACAAGCGGAGCAGCAACTTGAAGACTTTTAATTCCACCTCGTCCAACCTGACGAAGTGCGACGATAGAGTGGAAGTCTCCTTTCTTGACCGAGCCACGTCAGACCCGGAGCGATGTTCGAGCTATTTTAGTCGACAGTTCACGCTGCATCCTGGTGGTGGTGGTAAACGTCGAGTGACCAGAACTAACCTAATGCGCATCTTGCTTTCACCAGCAGTGATATGCAAATGGCCATCGGGAAGGCGTAAAGCATCAAAACCATCCCGACGAAATATGCATGCTGATGCTGAAAAATTTAGGTCCAGCGGGAATAGACTACCTCACCAACGTCATCTACATGTCAATGGTCAGTTTCATCATTCACGACGTGTGGATTGGTCCCGCTGCTAAAGCGTGGAAACCGACCAACAAGGGAGTCTTATCGTCCGATAACTTCTCTCTCCTGGGTAGCGAAGACACTAGAGGCCTTGCTACTCCCGCACTACACGAACCATCTGACCCCAGCGAGGCATCAGCATGGGTTCGTAAAGTGCACTTCACAACAACGGCATAAAAACTCAGATAACACGTGGACGAAACCGAAACCGACCCTATGAGAGAACAGTCCTAGTAGCGTTGGATCTATCGCACGCATTTGACACCATCAGCCACTCGACGCTATTAGAAGACATTGAGGCTTCATCACTCTTACGGGGACTCAAATGGTGGTCACCGAATTACATGAGTGGTCGACATTCGTCAGTAATTTTTCGAGATAAAATGTCCTAGCCAAGAAAAACTAACAGCGGGTTCTACAGGGTGGTGTCCTTTCCCCGCGGCTGTTTAATTATTAAAATTCAACCGAAATAAAGTCAATTGTTTCCAATATATTACAATGTTCACTTTCGACATTAGTGACACTTTTCACTTTTGGACAGCTGCATCCAGATAATTCAATTGAAGAAACGCCGTAAAGAAGAATGATATCATTTTCTCAAATCAAATTTTCTTTTAACAAACCCATGTTTTGAAGAGTCGCAAAACAAACTCATTGTGAGATCTCACATATACTATTAGTTGGTCCTTAGTGTTTCCAAGATATGCCTAGTCTTAAACCTTAGTCCTATTGCACATTTTAGCGAGTTTTTTGCAATTTGATAGTCCTTTGGCCAGCGATTTCATACAGCGAAGAGAAGAAACCAGAGCCCAGATACTAAGTAGCTGAGTCGCGATTTTTCAAAATCTTAACAATAACACAGTAGATCGGTAAGTGAGCTTTGGAGTTTCTTTCGTCGCATACCAACGCAAAACCTAGTTTGAGACAACCTGTAAGTTTCCCAGCTATTACTAGATTGCAATCCAGCCTCGAAAATATTAGAATATGAAATTGGCCATGTTTATGTCTGACAAAGGGACTTCGCGTTGGATTGCATTACCATGTGTAATTCTGTACTTATGTACATATGTAGATAAGTGGAGGAAGGTTACCCCTGCATATCAACTCGCTCATTTCATTCAATTGATTTGTTTTCTGGCACCTAGTAAATAGCGATTTAATTATCTTATATCCCCCAAATAGCGATTTCATTCATCTTATATTCCCCCATTGTGGAAGTTAGGCTCTATAAATCCTAAAAATCCTCGTAAATCAAAATAGCGCCGACTTGCCAGAATTTATCTGTGGCATTACGTTAAAAGTCATTAAGCCTGTTTTCATTTGTCATTAAGTCTGCTTTCACTTGCTATTTTTTGAATGGTGTACATTAGGGCGGAGCAATTTGTTCGGGGCAAAATTTTCAAAGAAGGTTTATAGCAAATTCAAATTCTACTATTAATTCTAAGCAAAAATTGCGAACACTATATACCTAAAATTACGTTTGACCCTCCCAATTTTCATAAGAAAAAGCAGTATATTGCATGAAGAAAATGCAAAATTTTGTAGATGAAAAATTAATTTCGTTCAGAAAAAAATTATAATACACTGATTTTTCTTTTAAAAAACGAATTTTTTCTATATAGTTTGTTCACCATTTTCGCTTAGAATGGAACGTTGGAATTCGAATATGCCATACACTTTTCTCGAAATTAAATTACTCAGTCCTTGTGGACATTCTTTTGGCAATTATAACATACGTTAAAATATGCAGTCAATTTTTGGCATAACTATAGGGATTTTAGCTACAATTTTTTACCAGGTGATGCATTGTGGATGTAGAATAAATTTGCATCAAAAAATCAGATGTACTTACATGTATGCTCCATTGTAACATCCTTCAGTGTGCTCGGACTGGTGCTGCAAATGAAAAAAAGAACGTTAGCATTTCAATTTCGAGGCATTTTCAAGTATTGTTTTAGTAAACATTCGCGCATACAGTTGTCCACAAAATAATAGGACAACTGTAATATTTTGACCAGTTTTGGCTGTTCGCCTATATTCAGATTTCAAACTTTGTACAAAAATTATAAAAATTTCGCATGATTTCACAAAAATTTCAAAGTTTTTAATCAGAATCTTTAGAAAAAATTGTGGTATGCAGTTTTGTAGCCCATTTAATTCTAGTATTTCCATTTAAAGTGCAAGTTACAGGTTGCAAAAACCCCCTTGATTTTTAAGAATTTTTTTGGTTCAAGGTGTTCCACGTTTTTCCCATACAAAGTATGTTCGACAATTTCCTTTTATATGGAGGACAAATCAACGGACTTTTTTAGCAGCTTGAAACTTGCACTTCATATACTACACCTTTACCAACAGTATTTTAGAAAAATACAAATGTATTTTAGAAAAGGCCAAATGAATTTCAGAAAAGGCCAAATGAATTTCAGAAAAAACTCAAATGTATTTCAGAAAACCTCAAATGTATTTCACAAAAGGGCAAAATGTATTTCAGAAAAGCTCAAATGTATTTCAGAAAAGGCCAAATTTATTTCAGAAAAGGCCAAATGTATTTCAGAAAAAGCCAAATGAAATTCAGAAAAACGCAATTGTATTTCTGAAAAGTTCAAATTATTTTCAGAAAACCGCAAATGTATTTCAGAAAAGAGCAAATGTATTTCAGAAAAGCAAAAATGTATTTCAGAAAAGCATAACTGTATTCTAAAAATATTTTTCTGAAATACATTGCGTTTTTCTGAAAATAATTTGAACTTTTCTTAAATACAGTTGTGTTTTTCTGAATTTCATTTGGCTTTTTCTGAAATACATTTGGCCTTTTCTGAAATACATTTGCCCTTTTCTGAAATACATTTGAGGTTTTCTGAAATACATTTGAGTTTTTCTGAAATTCATTTGGCCTTTTCTGAAATTCATTTGGCCTTTTCTGAAATACATTTGTGTTTTTCTGAAATACTGTTGGAAAAGGAGTAGAACTACATACCACAATTTTTTCTAAAGATTCTGATTTAAAAGTTTGAAATTTGGGTGAAAATTTGGGAAATCTGTATAACTCTTATAGAAAGTTTGAAATCTGAATTTGTATGGTGTTCGTTGAATAAGCAGCTAGACTTTTATAAAAAAAATAATAAACATTAAATAAACAAAAGACAAGTAGTCCAAACGGGTCAAAATATCGCACTCCTCTTATTTTGTGGACAACTGTATGTAAAACATATGTACATACATACATACATATGCATGTTCAAAAAGTAGATATGTGTATATATACAAATGCATGCAATGGAAAAGTGAAAATGTAGAATTTGCAAATATTTTTCCAATTTACAACTGTGCCACTTGAAGCGATCAAATTAAGGAAATAAACTATAAAAAAACAACGTAAAAAAATGTTTAAAGTTTTATTGGCAAAAAAAAGGAAAAATACGATGAATGTAACGCATGCAAACAACATGCCAACAGCAGCACAAACAAGTGCATTTATAAGTTAAAGCTGCTGCAAGGAGCAAGCAATTTCGAACGAGTGCCTACAAATAAACTCACATGCCTGCATTAGAGTTCACCCGACTAATCAGCTCCAGCGCATACGAGAATTCAATGCGTTCGCTTTGTGAGTAGCGACTTTTTTATTTTTATTTTTACTCTCATTTTATTATTGTTACTTTTTACTTTTCAATAAACGAGCCATATCGTGGCATTTGTCGGCAGATGGATGCACCACAGATCTGCCGATCACCCTGCGTGATCGCCACTGCGTGAATTATGAACACTTTGAAGAACAAATTGAATCTAAGCGTAACGTTAGATGAGACCGAAGAGCCATAACATTGGGGCACAGTAGGTGGGCGTAGTCGAGGGCGAGTGAGTACATGCACAACGTCATGTGTCTACGTATGTATGTTCAGACTCGTACATACATACATACATACATATGTACTATATGCATGTGAGTAGTATTAAGTATGGGTGGTGTGGTGGTGAACACGCCGGATCAGCGCAATTCTACATGCACTTTAATGACACCGCACATTGCCACGCAAAAACTTGAAGAAAATTGCTAAAATACATTTTAATTATTGCTTTACGGAAGTTCTAATGCGCTTTGTAGGAGAGAACAGCACTCTCGAAGGGGCCAGCAATAGATCTTATGGTGTTTCTTTTTCGTTGAAATTTCATTGACTTTTGGTTTCAATTATCATGCTACGGAAATAAAAAAGAAATAGCTTTTCTTTAGAAGATTTGGGCAAATGAAATCGCGAGCGGAGAAGGTGTTCGAGTGATTCCCTCGAGAATTATACAGTCTTCTTTATTTAAATTTCCAGGTGCATTTGATGATAAGCTATTTTCATGGCAGAAATACACTCGACGTTTTTTCAATATTTTTTTGCGATATTGCTTTGACCAGGGCTCGAATCCAGGTCATTTGGCTGTCAAGCGCAACGTTCAACACTTTTAAGGTCCGTATGCATACAGCTTTCGCGTAGCTTTGACGTTCGCCGCGCTTCGACAGCTGGCTATGAAGACATGCATTCATATGCAGCCGTCCACATATGTAGCCAATATTTGGCAACGCTAAAACCAATACAAAGCAGAAAGATGGCCAACTGTCAACTTTTAGCGTACGTCGCTCGTCAGCTGTTGCAAATAAATAAAATTATGTGAAATATTTTTCCTTTTAATCAAATGCAATTATTGATATGTGTGGCCAAAGTATTCGCGCCAAGCGTTCATTGTAGGAGCACTAGCGAACGCAACGCGAAAGCTCTATGTAGATGGGCATTTACATATGTAGATATGGCATTCGGTACGGCAATCATACCATACTCAAGCTGTTCATAGCAGGGCTTCGAAGCGGAGCGGAGCTGAGCAAAGGAGCAAAGGATTTTAACTGGAACGGAACTGGAGCAAATATTTATTTGCTCCTTAGCTCCTTAAGGAAAAATTTTCAATATTTTGTTTTTGTTATTCTCTAGCCTAGTAACGATTTATTTTGAAATAGTTTTATTGTTGTGTTTTCCACAAAAAAATGTTTGGTTAATAATTTTACTTAAATTATAATTATCTGTCGTTGAAAACAAGCGTGTTAAATGAATTTCCATTCTATTTAATCAACATGGCAATTTTTTCAATTTTCATTTGGATGCAGAAGTGTTCCTAGAGCATCTACATCAGATGTGCCCAAAACTCACACAATCATATATTTCCCATAACTAGTGAGTACAAATTCTCAAAGTTGAAAGTTTCGCATCGATTGAGCACGATCACAGCAAAACCATTATCGTCGGCATCATTGATTCATATATATGTTAGAAACCAGCGCAGTTTTTCTCGTGTACGTGTGAAAGCAGAAGAAAAAAATTTGGCACGCGTGCCTATGAAATGGCCACCCTTGATCTATATGCATTTCCGCACCAAAAAGAAAATTAAAAAAAAAAAATGTAGCCTAACTTTTTTTTTATCGGTTAGGGCTTGATATGTAAATAAATAAATATGGTTTTTTATTGGGAGCGGCAGTTGAGCAAGAGCGGAGCTCGGAGCGAAATAAAATACCGGAGCGGAGCGATGAAAAAAACCTTTGCTCCGAAGCCCTGGTTTCTTTGTGCGTGCAATTCAAACCGATTGTCAACCGCCGTGCTTATGCATACCGAATTTTAACAGCCAAAAATTAATAGTGGCATTCACCAAATTGACTGTTGTCAACTGTCGTTGCTTGGGCTGATCTACTCTTTTGCCAGACCGTCAGGCCACTTGCTCACTTTGGTGAATAACACTAATCATTCAACGGAACCCTGGTGACTCTGCTACGGAACACTTAAGTTCCGCGGAACCCACTTTAGAAAGCTCTGGTTTATACAACATTTAAGCTCGGAAGACATTTACAAACAAATAAAAAAAAAACTATCAATATGATGCGATATCTTTGTAAATTTGCGATCCTCCCAAAATTAAAATCGCTATGCAGAATTGTAAAATTCGTAAAAGCTTAAACAGACGGCAGAGTTGTTCCGGATTAACTCGGACTTAATCCGGATCAACTGCAGTTAATTCCCGAGTTGATCTGGATCAACGCTGCCGTATGTTCATGCTTTAAGACTTCTTTAAATTTGATATTGGAAAGCGTATTACGAACCAGCCAGCGAAATCGCAGCGGCACCACGTGCAGAAAAACCTCTTATGCTTTTGGTGTATGCAAATGATCTTCGCATTATTGACCTTAGCATTTGGATCGCCAGCTCGACATTCCCTATCATAAGATGACGACGTCCGAAGGTGTGTCTAATGTTGGAACAATGACAAGACGAGGTACGTCCTAAGAGCACACACAGAGTCCAGGCGTTTTGGGACAGCTAGAGTCTTCTGAGAGAAGTTCTCTTTCTTTGTAAGCGCCTAAGCGATTTTGGCCGACTTCACATGGTCTTTCCATCGCTGAAAAGGCATCGTTTGCTACCAAAAGCGGGTACCGAGTTAAATACTTTTAGGGGAGCGTTTTTGTCCATTCATACGATATTACAAAGCCAGCGTAGTCGTTCATGTCCATGTTCAGCTTTGCGCCACGGGCACAATGAGTGTGTACTTTTCGTACGTCGAGCGATAACTCGTATTTCTCAACTGCACCAGAATCCCGCGCATTGCTACTCTATCTATTTTCGATAAGGCAAAAAAGACTTCGATATCATCAGCGTACGCCAGTATTTAATTGTACGCTCTTGTAATAAATTTTATCTGAGCGGTTCAGTACTGCAGCTTTTGTTATCTTCTTCAACTATTACTATTCGTATCTCGTCATAGTCAGACATGGACTCCGTCGTCCATGACTACGGTCTAGGGTTATTCATCTCCACTGGTTCAACAAAGTGGAAAAGTACTCCCTCCTTAATTTAAGTATATTCTGAGCATCGGTGACTAGAACGTCGTGGCTGTAATCACAGGAATTCGCCTTGGTCTTGAAATCTTTCGTAAGTCACCTAACTTTCTCATTACATTTTCGGGCGTTTTTCCTGTCAGCCAGCACTTCAAGCCCTTCGCTCTTACGTGCTTTTACCTCTTTCTTTGTATTACGGAAAATACGCCCCACTTCCCTTTTCAGCTACCTAATTTGATCCCACGGAGCACGCGTTGCACCTGATCGCAATATGGCGATTTTGTAGGCGTCTAACTAATAAAACTAACTAGTATAACTAATAAAAAACATCCATAAAATATTTAAATGAACACACATATTATTTATTTGATGTCATCAATATAAGAACACATTGGGTATTTTAACACATGCGATACTTCTGTTCTTATTCTTTCTTATTTTTCTCATTGACTTTCTCACTCAAAACAATCATCTACATTCCTTAGCGTCCTATTACAATAGAACGTATACACACTCCAAGCAGTCCAACCCTGACGACGCTGTATAATCCTAGCGCACCCCACCGCCTCGGTGATGTCATCCAGCAGCAAGGCGCTACATTTGACATTGCACTCATTGAATGCATAATATTTCGTACCATTGTCCGGCTGACACCAATAACGGCCGCTGATCTGAAACAGTCCATAGTCGCTGGAACCGTCCGCATTGCGATTGCCCACCACATGCGTGTTATAGCGACTTTCATATTGGGCGATGCACAGCCACAGCGCTAGCTCCGATTTCGGCACATCCAAAATATACAGCTGACTGGCGAGTTCACAGCGTTGCAAACGACGCATTTGAATGGGGGCAGGCGCGTTTACGAGCAACAGCCAAATGCAACAAAAAATGGTTGTGGTGGTGACGGTGGCGATACTTACAAAAGGCGGTAGTGTGCGTTGCGCGGGTGTTGCGGACATTTGGTGACGTTGACGATTGCGACGACTGTCGATTTGATGCGACATTTGCATGCGCTTTTGATTAATGTGCGTCTAAATATGAAAAATTATTGAATAAACGCTTCGAAAATTTAGGTGAACACGGATATTGATAGCGGTAAGTAGTTTCACCGCTGATGAATGTGATGCACTAAGTTAAGTTGCATCGTTTGCAATGCGAATGCGTTTGGGGGAAGTCGGCAGCAAAAGTTAAATTAAGAATTAATGTTGGTATAAAAACAATAAAAACTATGGTTAGAACCGGTTTTATGTATTGCAAAAATTCGTTATGGAAATTACATGGTAGTTGTTGTTATTATTGTTTTTGTTGCTGGCTGGCTGCCTATACTATTGTGGACGTCCTCCAGCCAGCGCGGCACTGTGTAGATATGCTCGTCGCTTGTCTGTTTTGGTCATTGAAGTGTTTAATAATAAATATTTCAGAATTTTAGCGGCGTGAGAATTATTTATTGTTATCTGATTTACGCGCATTCATATTTGCACTGTTGCGGTATTCACAGTGTGAGCACAGAACCTAAAGAATTAAAGTGTAGATATACGTTCTGAATATAAAGACGAGAGATTGCTTGCTTTTTACCTTCCTTTTATTAGCTAGAGATGTAACTATGTAATATTGATGCGCCTAAAAGATGCAGCGATTTCTATTCTCAAGTCACATACCTGATGAAAGTACGAATGGCAATTATAATAGGGAGGTTTTAGTTTTTTAAACTATAATTTTATTATTATACTTTAGTCGTTTAACTACATTCAATTTAAACTTTTTTTAAGTATATCCTTAGTCGGCTGATATGGTGGAAAGGGGCTTATCGGGGGGTTCATATGAAAATGATAGACCTTATATAAAAATTATAGGTCGACAGAATTTCTGTGAGATATAGTGCCTCACAATGATTTTCAAGTGAAATTTTATTGTTCTTTTTCTATAAAAATATTGTCCATGCTTTAACCAAAACTATATAAATAAAATGGTCAAACTTCATACAAAATTAGGCAAACTCAACAAATTTTCATTGAAATTTTGAGCTATGTAATCTGTACCTTTAAACCATTTTTGGGTATGCAGTTTTATAGCGAAGAAAGTTTTAGTTGAATGAAGTGCAAGTTTCAGGCGTCTAAAAAATCGCGCTGATTTCTATTTTTTTTTTGTGACCGCTTTTGCGGTTTTTTTACATAACTAGTGCAATTTATAAAAGCTGTCGTTGATTTTTTTAAATTTTGTTGCGAACGGTCCTGTGAATTTTATTCAGATGAGAAAATTCGAAATTTAGAAGAAAATATGTTGAATTTTCCTTAATTTTATATAGTGGTGGAAAAATAAATAGGGACACGACATTTTACCCTATTTTCTCTATTTTTAACCGACTTACAAAAAAGGAGGAGGTTATCAATTCGGGTGTATAATGAAATCCCGATATACAAAATACCGAAATACAGAATCCTGAAAGTCATAATCCAGACACGACCAAATCCGACCAGACATAATCCAGGCACGACCAAATCCTGACCATACATAATCCCGACAACACACAATCCCGACCATTCATAGTCCCGACAAGACACAATCCAGACAAGAAATCCCGACAAAATATAAAAATAATTAAAAAATCGCGCGATTTTTGAAATTATTTTTATATTTTGTCGGGATTTTTGTCATGATTGTCTTCTGTTTTCACTCAAAAATAATGTATAAAAGACACAGTTGTTATTATTGTTGTAAGGGCTTACTTAGCCAGTAATTGTCCGCAGGCTCAACTAACGGTAGGCCCAGGAAACTTGATATTTCGATGAGGTAGAACCAGAGGGAGAGGGATGTTAGTTGAGTTGGATGGAGTGGGCATGTAAAAGAGGTGGTTGGTGTCATGAGGAGAATCTCCACATGCTGGACACTCATTTTTGATGTTGGGAGGCGAGTTGGGCCAGAATTACGCGGGTATCTCGTGGCAGTTGAAGCTCACTCTCGTTCACAGGTGGTGATTGGCACTGATGACGGCATTCACTCGACTGGAGTTTGTAAATGCCGTTAATAGCCTGTCTGTACAGTCCCAGTCCCAGGGGTGCTGTGCGTAGTGCTGGACCTGGTCCTTTAGCTCAAGCAAGTTCGAGTGCTGAAATCTGTAGCACCCTACTAGAAACTGCACGCTGAGAATGATGTTGTCCCCTTACTGGGAGAATTTCGGCTTCACTGTGGATGTGATGTTCTGGCGACATCAGAAGGCATCCCCTGGTTGTCCGGGGTGTTATATTGTAGTTTCGTCCACTGCGAACCAATTGTCCCCGGCGAGCACACAGGCGCTGCATAATTTAGAACCGGACGGCCAATTGCCCTGTATGTATTTGCCTTTGGCCAAGTACTGCCGAATTGGGGAATTGAGGACTTTGCTACGGCTCTGTACTTTGTTGGCAATTTCGGTTGTATGCGCCGGGAACGAGAGCTTGATCCGACAATTTTCCGGTTATTCACCGTTGGAATTGGTTTGCCATCGACGAGAATACGCAGCTTTCGTCCTTTTAGTAAAATTGTTGCCGAGGATTTTGTAGGGAGGAAGGTTAGGCTCCTTGCAGTGAAGGAGCGAAAAAATTTGGAGTGCTTCCTATCAATTCGTCGGATAATTTTTTTTTATGTATGTTACCGCATAACTTTGGACCACGTCGATCGATTTTGATAATTCTTTTTGCATCGGAAAGGTAGTGTCTCAGAGGTGGTCCCATACTAATCTGGTTTAGATCCGATCATTGGATCATGAAATATATAGAGATATGTATACATTTTTTTAAGTCGGTATTTTTTTGCTAAAAATTACTTGTTCTTTTGCTATTTAATATTTATTATTTTTTTATAAAAGTATACTTCATTATCTAACAAAAACCATATAAATTTATATTTCAAACTTTGTGCAAAAATTATAAAAATTCTGGAAAATTGCTTCTAAATTTTCAACTTTTTACTTGACGTCTATGAACTTTGGAACAAAATTATTTTCTCCTTGAGAAAAGAACATCGATATGTACTTCTTTAAGACCCGACCGTAAATTCCAATGATATGACAAAAAAAATTAAAAGGCGACCTCCTCTAAGTTCGGCAAATTCGATATTGGCTTTGAATAAATGCCAATTGCCAAAAGTAGCTGTTATCTCGAATTTACAAATTGAAAACGTTCTGAAATTCAACGAAAACGTTATTTCATAACAGTTATTAGATAAAAAATATTATTTTATTTCGCCGATAAGAGTTATTATAAACCAATTTTTTTTTTTGATAATAGTTATTGCCCAACGTTTATCTTTTACGTTGCTTAAAACAGTTATTGCGCAACGTTTATTTTTTACGTTGTCAGATGAACGTTGTAAGATAAGAATAATGACGAAAATGGAGATGTAGAAGAAGATAAAGACGATGAAAATAAAAGTGGAGGAAACAAATAACTGTTATCAGACAACGTAAAAATAAACTTTGGGTAATAACTGTTATCAAGCAACGTAAAAAATAAACTTAGGGAAATAACTGTTATCAAGAAACGTAAAAAATAAACGTTGGCAAATAACTCTGATTGACGACGTAAAACATATTTCTCCTGCATAACAGTTATCAGGCAACGAAAAAGTAAACGTTGGGTTATAATTCTTATCGGCGAAATGAAAAATTGCTCATCTAATATCTGTTATGGGACAACGTTTTTACAATATAACTTATAACTGTTATGTCCCTAATCCAAATATTTCCAATAGTTTAATGATTTTTGGGGAGATTTATTTAACTGACATTAGGGTGGTACAGGATGAAAATTTACTTTTCATCCATAGTAGGAAAAGGCAGCTTTCTTTAAATTCGTCGATAATTTTTTGTACATTCTCACAAAAAAACTCTTAATTTTATACGTAGCATATAACGCACGACTGCAATGAAATTCGGATTCCTAAAAATGGCGAATGAGGCTATTAAATATGAAAGTGATCATAAATGGCAGAAATTCATATTTTTTAATTACCGAATTAAATACCAAACAGGCAAATCTGTGTAAATTAAATTTATACGCTCCAGATTTCTTGCAAAAATAAATGATTGAAAGTTCATTTCAAATGACCATATACAACTCAGAACCAACACCCACAATTACCTAATTGTCAAGTGAAGCCCAACCACGACGAATGACGCTTGTAAAGAGCTGTTAAAAGTCAGTGGGTAATGCAGCCTCCAGCCAAGCCTTTGATCCCATACATATGTACTATGTATGTGCATACATATATTTTTATTACAATATGTATTACATATGTATGTGCTTTTTTCGCCAACCGAGATGACTATTATGGGAATGTCATATTCGACGTATACACTGTTGCGCATTCAAATGGTAGAATGTAGATCAACAGTCTGTCTGCGAGTTCAATGCACGCAATGATGCGTAACATTCAATTTCGTTCATAGAAATCAACTAAAATCCTAAACTTATTTTTTTTTAGTGTTTTTCGTTCGAGTTTTGTTAGACGTCCCCATAACGCCAATATGCTTTGAAGGTGACTAGAAATAAATTCTATTTGAACGGCACAATTTATAAATAAACAAAAGACCAAATACTACTGCATATGTACAAATATTACGCGGAGTTGTCAATATGTACGAGATACAGATTTAGCACGCGTAATATGAGTATTGACTTGCAGGAAGGAAGAGAAGGAGAAATAGGAGATTGACATGCAGACGATGAGCACACAACGAATTTATACAAATCGGTGGCAAGAGTATCAAATAGACATCAACTATTTAGGTGTGGTATGTAAAAAAAAAAAATCCTAGGTTACACAAACCACATTGGAGTGGGAATTATGAGCAAATAAGACAAACAAAAATTTTCAATTGCGTAGGAGTTAAGAAATTTGTACTTCACTGTAAGTAAAACTGTACATCGCTATACTCTAACGAGACTCTTCTCTGAAGACTTTTACGACTCTTATGGAGAATCGAAAATTTATCAGTGAGACCATACATGACACTCAACACTGGCTTTTGTGAGGGTACCATGTTTACAGAAATAGTAAAGAAGATATATAGAAAGAGATTAGAAAGTAATAAGGAATAACTATAAGCGGCAAACTCGTATGTCATAATTAAGCTATTATACAGATTTCTACGGATAGAGTATATGTAACAAGC